CACATTTTAAATCTCTCAACTATACGCTTAGTGCCGAACTTGCAATGTTGGCAAGTTATAGCTCTGCCCCTATAATCATGGTTTCACCTAGTGTATTGCCCTCTCCTAAGGCGGCTCCTAAAAGAAGAGTCAAATTCCTCTTTTGCTAACTGGAATGACTCGATGGCTTCAGTCATAAAAACATCAGCCCCACTGAACGCCTTGAGCCCTTCGTCCAAGGGGTACATCCTTTTAACTTTCCTCGTTAAGGGCTATGTTTCACCCACCACCTTAGGAAGAAACAATTTCCTTTTTCTGCCCAACCTACACATACCCAATAGTAAGGTTTAGATTTAACAACTCCATATATGTTGGATCACATACCATCATGCAACCTGACCCTAAACCTGTTATAACTATGATAGGGTCCACTTTAGAAACATAACCTAAAGACGACTTTAGAATTCCTCGAGTACTTGAAGGAATGAAAGAAGACTCATGGACCTCCTCTAAGGTAGCACAGCCTAACCACTTATTCACGCATTTGACCGCCTCTGAATCAATTTCAGTGCTGAAAGGGTTGGTATCGTACTTACCAACCTTGCTGAAATCTTCATCAAGTGAGTATTCTTCGACACATTCTCATCATCAGGCCCAAAATTCTTATCAAGTCCCTAGAAAAACTATCTATTCGATCAGGGCCTTAACGAAGATTAGTAATGTCTTCATGTTCTCCACCTCTGTTCCTACCAATATTTGTGCCAATTTATTTACACTTCTATATGGCCAAGCCTTTCTACAATATTTAACGTTGGAAGAACATTCTACACCAAACATATCTCTCCCAACCCTAAATCCATTAGGGTTATTTATTTCAAGGCAATATTTGAAGACATTCCAAACATAGATCGTCTTTAGAATGTCTAGCCACCCACTTTTCTTCAGAACATCAAATTGTTTCCTCTCTCCCTTCTCTAATTTTAGAACATAACTCATAGCCCATTCACTAGGAATTTCTTCGAAAGAAAAATTGAACCCTTCAAGTAACTTCTAAGCCACTTTAATGAACTTCGAGCGATCCAGCTTCAACAATCTTCCCGTTAGCCCAACCGGCAACAGGCTCCCTAATCTTAAAACCTTTATTGCATCTCTGCGTGAAACATAAAAGCCTTGCACCTGCTTCATGGGTCACAGTGCTGAGAGTAAAAATATTCTATAATATGGCTACTAAAGACTCCCATTTTCTCTTCCTACAGAAGATAAAATGGCCCACAAGAATCCACCATAAAGCTCTGGCTAATTGACCCAATGCTATTCTGTAATGAACCAACACCTCATTCAAGATTGTGCACGAAAAAATAAAACATGGCTTCTAAAATGTAAAGAGGAAGGTAAAACCATGTTAGGTTCCCATCGCTACCATCTTCATGGTCACTCATACAACGTGAACTAGAAGGGAGGCTAAACTCAAACTCATAGTTCTCTCATAGTACACCACATCTCAGCAACAAATTCTTGGCCTCGAGTCATTGGCGGATATAGAAATTTTATATTACGCTGTCAATAATTTTTTATTATTAAATATTATTTCGATAAGGTAAGATCAATTTTTTAGAGTGTGTTAAAACCTTTCTAAAAGTGGTGTCATTTCTTTTCTTTATATATATATATAAAAAGAACTCTCTTTTTTTAATTTTTGGGATGTCAATGGACACCCTCCAACATATATTGGGTCCGTCAGTGCCTCGTGCCAACGAGTTGTGCATTTGAGAATATCATCATTTTTTGATTGTTAATGGTTCGCTTTAATCCTCTCCTCTCCACCTCTAAGAGATTTCATAATTCTCTTTTTGACGTCATGACGAAAAGCTTAAATCACATACAATCTCACAAAGGAAAAACGACACCAGAGAATTTGCGACTATCACTCCAAATCTTCCATATATATATATATATATATATATATAATATGATGAAATGATACATCCCCAAATATGGAAACGGTGCACCACTTCATCGTGTCAAACATAATGCATCACACATTTAAGCTTTCGGGTAGTTCAAGAAGTAGTAATTGCGATGTTTTCCAAAAAAATGAATTATTAGATGCTTACAATGGTTAGATGGTTAAGTCTCGAGTCAAGCCACTTTATGACATTCTTTCGATTAAGGGGAACAAGTGATGTACCCCGCCAAGATTCCTATGCACACACCATTCTTGCGCCCCACAATCGTCCGAGGGCCCTAAAACACCTCCAACCCTCTGACACCAAAAGAACTTTGGAAGGCATAAAGAGAACATCTCTAGAAGCCGTAACTTATTGACATGACTCTGACGGACGCACATGAAAACTAGAACGAAATCCACCTCCACGTGATCATATCCACTTATCTGCTAGCCTACGGTAACCATTATGACCCTACGATTGACTCATACATTAAGGGTTCTTATAAATCCTTTCGACCAAGATTGAGAAAAGATATGTGACCTCAATGAAACCACCCTACCCTTATTCTCCTCTGCAATACATCCATATGGAGATAGAGCACATCTACATCGAGCAACGGCCAATTTTTCATTAGCTGCGACTCTCTGTCCAATTAAAAAAAGGTGAACTGTCAATAACCACAACATCCAATTTCGTCCTATCCAAAAAAAAGAAAAAAAAAAGAAATCTATCTTTATATTTTATATTCTATTTTTCTATTCTACCAATCTTCTTTCCACCTAACTAAACAAAATTTCAATGTCCTTAAATCTATTAATTTCAATATTTTATTTAATACATATTCAAATATAAATATAGGGTGCTTTGGGTTTTCAATGATTTCTGATTATCATTTGCAAAACAAAGCAGCTATTTATTTCCCCCTTATATCAGGGAAATTACTCAAACTGTGATTGTCAGGTCCCATACAATCACTAGAAACTTGATAAACATTATTAAAACCAGAAGAAAAATATACATAACGTGTCCCAAGTAAGCAAAGCACAGTTCTACTTGATGATAAGCAGCATAAAAATGGAAGAAATGGTCTTGAAAACTGAAACCTACAAGTTTAAAGATGGTTACTTCTTTCTACTTAATGGTGTGGGTGGAGGTGGGAGTATGTAGGGAGAAAGCTTTGATGCTTAATGAAAGTTGCGACGGTTCTTGGCATGTACCTTCCTTATATAGGCAGAGAACATGCCATCGACGTCGCCGCCTCGTTTCTCTTCATTTCCTCTGCCGGGTTGCATCACGATTGAGCGGGGCTTCGAGCTGCTCTGCGGCTTTTCCGACATTCGGTTCCCGGGAAATCGAGTCTGCAACAGTTCATGGTCAATAATCAAATTTGAATCTGTTGCCGTCGGTGTTGAGTGACACCCGGTCGTTCCACGACTGGACTTTGCAATCGAAAATGATGACAATTTAATGATGTTCAGCACAATCTTCATTGATTTCTCACAAAGGGACTTGTCATTTCTTTCTTGAATCATCTTAGACACCACGTACAAATTAGATGACTGAAAAATGAGCTAATGAACTGTATATTATAAGACTTATGGAACACTTTTCTCCAGCAATTTGAAAGAATATTGTCAGCAGATTTATTACGTGGGTGCTACTAACTCTATGTTATAATAGCCAATGAAACAGGAATTAAATCTCTAGCGGGTGGATGCTCGAGGTTTGGGCCAGGGATGGATAGATGAACTGGACTAAATTTGAAATTCTCAAATAATTTACATGTTTTTTCTTTTTCCGTCTCTAAAATTTTATAAATTCATCCTTTCTTCAGCTCCTGATTAAGGCCAAATCATTTCGAGTTTTATCATTTCCTGGTTTGGGGCGTTGATTGATCTGTAAATGAAGCATCTGCAATGCACATTCCTGGATATCAGATTGAGCCTGGAGCTTAGATCTCAAATAATAAATTCCTAGCAAATCATTATCATAATTCATCAAAAATGCATGAAAGTAGTTTGTTTGATTCTAAATTTGCACCAATCCTTTCCACTTTCTGGATAGAGTTTCAGCATCTCGCTTGTTTTAGGAAAAGAAATAAAGTGGGATAGAATAAGATTCCTCTCCAAGACTGCTTTCTAAGTTATACTATTCCTTTTTATCCTTTATAAACTTTTTGGAGTCATCTTCATCAAATCTATAAGAATTTTGAAGGCTGAATCTGACTGCTTTGTGTTGCATCATTTGTTTTATTGTTATTTCATTGTTATTTTACAATTATGTAAGCAGATATCAAATTAGGACTAGGGACGGTGATTTTACCTGGACTAGATGAGTTCTGACCTGACATGACTCGACTGGATCGATTCATTATTTAGAAAATTTCAGTTCGAGTCAAGTCTTGTTAATTTCTTTAAGAGTGTAGTCAGATCAGTTCGAGTTTAGAGTAAAAAAGTCTAACCCAATATAATAGAATAATTATCCTTTTTATACTTGCAGATAATTACAATAATACTCCTTTCTATTTTTTTCAATTATATCCTAATTTTATTTAATAAAAATAATTATATATATATATATAATACGGGTCAGCTGGGTGCATATTTTAACCTAAAATATTAAGTCGTGTTTCGGGTTGAGTGAAGACGCTCCTAAATTCGGATTGAATCAGAACTTCAATGAGAGATTCATAACTTTGTAGAACTAGGACTCTCAACTTTAACTCAAGAAGGGTAAACCCGCTTTGCTATACAGCTTACTCTTGGTTTTTCTTAATATAGTTCTATCTCTATATTTAATGACGGGTCAAGAAATATTTTTTAGTGATATACGTATATTAATAACACAATTTTTAAATGAGACGGACAATAATAAAATTTCAATATGGACATCATCAATAAATTTAGTAATTAATAGAAGAAAATTCGAATTTCAAGATAAACACCTGTGAACCTCAGATGCATGTAGAACCGCCATTGTCTATGTATACATATGATAACGATACTTGAAGAAAAAAATGAAGAGTCGAAGCAATATAAATAATCATGATGTGATAAATTCTATTCCACATGGTAAACGAAAGCATCTTGAATTTATAAAGTTCTTAACATAATTTTATAAGCAAGCGAATAAAAAATCTATAAAAACACAAGTAGATGTGTTTATGGTAGAGAACAGAGAGCAACTTTAGCAAATTTTATTTCTTAGTTCTTTCACTGTAAACCATAGATTTACAAGGGTTATTATAGGCCACTGAGCACTCTAATTTTACTTTGAAGAAAGCCAAGGGTTAGGTGCTGCATAAGTATAACCCTCAAAATGTTCACCTGCTGTAGGAGTGGAGGCTGGCGAGTCATCTGCCGGCATCGTCGTCCAGCATTTGTCGAAGTTGGCAGTACAATCCTTTCCGCTCACATCTGGTTTGAACTTTGGCTGAATTTCTCTAGCCTCTAATTTCTTCCAGTTGATTGACCGGAACCATTTATGTTTCTTTATCTCATCCCCTCCTCCAGGACCACTGCCTAGCCTTCTTGATGGTTCCTTCTGCAGCATCTGCAAGATTGGAACAAGATTCTTAAATCATTTTCTATATTGTAGCTCGGATAAAACGAGGAAAAAGAACCATATTGGAACATGTATGGACCCCTTTGAGTAAAGAGTGAGCTTCAGTAGTAAGGAATGGTGGAAGTTTGAGTTTCTCTTGGATAATTCTTTGCTGAAGCTTCTGCCTATTTGCATGTGTAAAAGGAGGCTGCAAGATCAAGGGATTCCCTGATATGGTTATCAAAAGTATTATATAAACTCGAATCAAACCCGAGCAGCAAATCAAAAGTCTAACAATGTTGATGTTGCACAAAGTTGGAACTTAAACCTCGGAAATTTTGAAAAGGTTTTAATGCTGAAAATCTCAGTATATTACCTGACCAGTTAGCATTTCATATAGCAGTATCCCAATACTCCACCAATCTGCATCTTTATTGTGGCCTTTGGACTGTAAAATTTCTGGAGCCATGTACTCGGTTGTCCCACACATCGAATTTGATCTGCTAGATTCATCGATTTCCTTGGCCAGCCCGAAATCTGTAAGCATAACCTGAGACAACATACCGATTCAGGAAATGGGAATACTCTGTCAACATAATAACAAGAACAAAGGTATGATGTATAATAGACAGTCAAATATGTTCCTGCAACAGAAACTGAGAGTATGAGCATGGCCATTACATGTCCATCAGCATCCACAAGAATATTTTCGGGTTTAAGATCTCGATGCACGATACCACAGTTGTGAAGATGCGAAACAGCAGATACAATCTCAGCAGTATAAAACCTTGCTTGATCCTCACTATTCAATAAACATGTAACAACTAAATTAAAAGGCTGCAAACAGATACATTACTTGAAGTTATGAACATGAAGTCGAAACACAGATTACCTAAATATCCCCTGGCGATACAGGTGAAAGAAGAGATGGCCACCATTTATAAAATCCATGATCAAATAAAGCTTAGACTTTGTCTGTAAAGTTACAGAAGAACATAACAGTCAACATTGACATGTGAATATTACCTTAAAAATACTAAATATATGGAAAAACTTAGAAACCAGATTTGCGTGGGACATATAACACTATAGTCTATCCTATGCTTAGACCCGAGTTTGTATTATCCACTGGTAAAGCTCATAGTTAATGCTCCAAAAGAGATACAAATCAGGGATTTAAATAGCAGTCCGTTGTCAGAATAGTTGTAAAAGAGACCGTTATTTCACAACCTAGATACCCGCAATGACCATAATAGCAGCCACTATTGCCACAATCACGCAACACAACCAAAACCAAAAAACGCAATATAAACCTCTGATTCAAACCTCTAAAGAGCTTGAATTTCTCAAAGAAAAAAGAAACCCTCTAGTATTTTGATCATTTTGATATCAGGAAGAGTCCAATTCATAACAAAATCAGATCCTTAATTAGATATCAAGCTGAATCCTAAAGACAAAATACTTCAAATCCAGATCATTCAATTGCAGTTAAACATAAAGGGCAAGAAATATCATCATTTCTCATATCAGCTGACCAGAATCATATCATAAAATACTTTTAGAAAATGGGTAATTGGACTAACATGAAGATATTCGAAAAACTAGCAGAAGAGCCAAAATTTATGAAAGATGGGAAGAAAAAGTGAAAATTCTAAAGAATCGAATAAGGAACCTGAAAAGAGTATCTGAGCTGAACAATAAATGGATGAACAACTTTAGTGAGGATATCTCTCTCAGCTCTCATGTAATCGACATGGTTCTTTTTAATTATAGTTTGTTTCTTCATCACTTTCATAGCAAAAATCCCATCACCATCACCATCACCATCACCATCCTCAACATCCCTTCTTTTTTTCCTCACCTGAAAAACTTTCCCAAAAGCTCCTTGCCCAACAACTCTCAAAATCTCAAAATCCTCAGGCACAATCTTGGCCTTCACTTCTTCTGCATCTTCATTCTCGGTTTCAGCTTCATGGATTTCGAGGGGGAGGGAAGAAGAGAGGGTGTAACGAGGGGAAGGGCCCACATAAGAGTGGGTCCTGGTGTGGATAACTTGAGGATCACCGAGGAAAGCAGAAGGGGGAGACGTGGAGGATGGTGATTGGACGATGGGGTTGGAAGGGTGAGGAGTTACAGGGCCAAAAACATCACCAAAATCGAACTCATGATTAGAAGAAGGGGGAGTGATGGTGAGTTTCTTGAGGTTAGTGGCTAAAAGGGATTGAAGGTTTTTCTTCTGGGATGATGAAGAAGATATCATCTTTAGCTCAACAGAAAATCAATCGAAAATGTTTAGGACTTAGTAAAGAGGAGATTACATTTTAAGCACAGTAATTGAAAATAGTACAGAGGAGATCACTTTGAATTGAATTGCAAATGAAGAAAGAAGATGATGAACAAGATGGAGATGTTAGATGGAAGTGGCAATAATTTGGGGGTCTAGTTTTTCAATAACGCGCGCCTCTAACCGTGAATATCACTCGCCAAAGGTTTTTTTAGGGTAAATTACATTATTAGTCACCAACGTTGAGGGATATTCTTATCCTTGGACTCTGTAAGCATCAATGCGTTAACCAAATTAGAAAACATGCGAACAGATATATCAAATTCATTTTTCCCCTATTGTAAACATTGTCATAACCATTTTTTTTAAAAAAATTAAATATATATTTTTTAAAATAATTATGATTTTTTTGTTGAAAAATTAGTGATTTTGAATTGATTTGGATTAAATTGGATCGGAGTCGCCATCGACCTTTGGGTTAGGTAGGTCGAATACCTAAAAACGTCATTTTAAACAATTTTAAGAAAAATCATTTTTAAGATAAAAATCATTATGCGTCATCAAAGATTCGAGTTCATGGATTCGGGAGTCGGTTATGCGTGGGAAAGGATTAGCACCCCGTCAACGCCGAAAATTGGCACTTAAATCGCTTACACGTTGTCTTAATGGCATAAATTATGAATTCGAATTAATAATAAAAATTATGATCCATTTACTAAAGTTAATTAATTTTCTTCATATTGAATAGTTAGAGAAAATTCTTTAACTTGAAAAGAAATCTCGAGATTAGCAATCCTCCATCGGGAACGCTATCTCATCTATTTCTTATCTGTAAAGAATATTTCCTCCTCGTAGATTTTAAAAAAAAACGCGAATCGAATATAAAATAAATATCAAAAATTACGCAAAAGCATAAGTTACCATTTAAAGAAAAATGCATTTGCATTATTTGAATAAATGAAAATTTTAATCAGTAAAATAAACGAGATCTATTTCAAGTTCGCATTTCGTTAAAATGTCATGTCGGATCGCATCACTTCGACAAAGTGATGCTTTCCATGCTCGTTCTACAAATTGAGTTTTTGAAAGTATTCGAATATCTCATCAATATACAAATGGAAACAAATGCAATTGGAAGTATACAACATAAAATATTTACATTAAATAGAACTAATAATATTTATTTAATACAATACAAAGATCTACAATATGTAAAAAAAATCATACATAAAGGACTAAAATAAAAACAAGCGAACATTACAAACCAAAATAAAATACCAAAAATAAGCATTTAAAGGACCAAAATATGATTAACAGAAATTTAAAGGGCTGAACACTAAATACATAAAAAAACATATCCACAATCAGATACAGTAAATAATATGGGAACCAGAAATGAAAATAACCCAAAAATAATATTAGGACCAAAATAAGCTCTACCAGAAACATGAAAGTAAAAATAATAATTAAACCAAATGAAAAGCAGTGACTAAAATAGAAGATTTACAAATATTGTGGCCAAAGTTGAATATTAACAAAAATAACATAACAAATAATAACAGGACTAAAACATAAGTACTGAAAAATAAATGCTTGAAATCAAATAAAGAAAAACTTCATTAAATAACTTCATAATGAGATTACAGAACATGGGGACCTAAACTGTGATTTACCCTAAAAATTGAAAAACACGTGCAAGATTTACAAAAGGTAGGGACCAAACATGCTATTAGCCCTAAACCAAACACACTGAATCTCCCCTTTTAAACTATGTCATTTCAGACTTAGTATAAAAGGCCAAAACACGACCAAAATTTAGGCTAAAATATCATTTGCCTTGCCTTCAAATCGAGAAAAGGACAGAAAAAGTCTCTCAACTCTCTCATCGGGGAGAGAATGGTCGCCATCGCCGGCCGCGCTCAAGGCGGCACACGGTGGGTGGAGAAATCAAAAGTCCCCAAAATGATCTTCTCATCGCCTTAATAACGAAATCAAGACTAGATTTGCGTAAAACCTAACCAAATCTCCTAGATCTAAGGCTTTTACCTTCCGATAGCTCCAAAGAATCAACGCCTTTTCAACTTTCTGATGTTCTCCGAACGTAGGTGAAGTGGTTCTTTCCTTTCTTGTTTTTTCTTTGGTTGTTCTTGGTTTTTTACCTGTGTGTTTCTTGCATCTTTTTTATTTTCAAATCTGGTCTTTTTCTTTTTTCCTTTCGGGTATTTCTTGTGCTCTCCTCTATCACTTTTTTTGTTACTGATCTCTTCCCCCTCTCCTCTTATCCCCATATTTGCTTTGATGAAAATTATTAAACCTGTTGGAAAGTACTCTGATTTCTCTGAGTTGAATAGATAAGATCCTGATTTTTCGGGATTTAATCAATTTTTATGGGTTTTTTACTGATCTGTTGCAGGTTCTGTAACTGTTTAGTCATATTGTTGACGGCAGAGGGAGAAGTCGACGACAACATCAGAAAATAGACGGTGGGAGCAGTCAGCGACAATAGCAGAAATAGGCGACGGTAGCAATATCATATCCCTAGGGTTAGGGTTTCAGAAACCCTAGGGTATGATAATCAGGCCAAATCGAATCTTCTCTTTAGGCCGATTCGGGTTGGCTATTGGGGCTTGGTTCGGGTCCTACTATCGCGTCAGGTTGAGATTTGGGTCATGTTTGGGTTGGATCTTGTACTACTTTTGGGGATGTTGGGCTTGAGTGATTAGGCTCTGGGTGAGGGCTTGATGTATTTGGTTTGGGTCTCGGTTGGCTGGTTGTAACTTAGGCCTGCAAAAAAAATGAATGTTAATATTGTAAATAATAATAATAATAATTATTATTATTTTTTTAGACACGGACAAAAAGAGTGTCTATTGTTGCCACTCTTTGCACATTATTGTGTTAACAAGAATAGGGCAAATACGAAAAAAACGACCAATTTTTGTTTGGTTCTCTTTTTTGATTTTGGAAATTTGATATATTTGTTGTTGGGGACGACACTGCTCATACATGATGAAGAGTTCGAGTCGTCTAAGGGTGACACGACTCCTACATTATGAGGAGATTTGTTCAGGGGATGACACGGTTCCTACGCGATGAGGACAATTGGCCATCTTTAGGGAATGTTGATAACATGGTTCCTATGTAATGAGGATGACTGGTTATTTAGGGGTGACATGGCTCCTACATGATGAGGAGGTCTGGTTGGTGGATGACACAGTTCCTATGTGATGAGGATGACATACCATCTTTAGGGATGATAACACAGTTCCTACGTGATGTAGACGACTGGTTATCTAAGGGTGACATGGCTCCTACGTGATGAGGAGATCTGGTCGGGGGATGACACGATTCCTACGCGATGAGGAAAACAAGTCATCTTTAGGGATTTGTTTCAAGAGAAACTGTCTCAAGAGAGACAAAATTTGTTTCAAGGGAAACAATCTCAAAGGTGTGTGTTTGAAGAGAAAATGTCTCAAGTGAGACAAAATTTGTTTCAAGGGAAACAACTCAAAGATGATGTTTAAAGAGAAACTGTCTCATGAGAGACAAAATTCATTTCAAGGGAAATGATCTCAAAGATGTTTGTTTTGTTTCAAGGGAAACAAACTCAAAGATGGGTATTTCACTAGAAATTGTCTCAAGGGAGACAAAATTTTGTTTCAAAGGAAACAATTTCAAAGTTTGTCTTAAGGAAGACTATCTCAAGTGAAACAAAGTTTGTTTTGAGAAAAACAATCTTACGTGAGATCAACTTTGTTTCAAGTGAAACAAACTCGAAATTTGCATCTCAAAGGAAAAATGTCTCAAGCGGGACGAAATTTGTTTTGAGAGAAATTGTCTCAAGAGAGACAAAATTTGTTCTTAGAAAACTATCTCAAGCGAGACAAAATTTTGTTTTTAGAAAAACTGTCTCTAGCGAGACGACGCTTTGTTTCGAGAGAAACAATCTCAAAAGTGAGAGATAATCTGCTTGTTCCTGCAAGTTGACGAAATATCTTAAGAAGGTCTGATTATTGACTTCAGGGATATTGAATCTCCAAAGATGCCCAACACTCGATGTTGAATCTCCAAAGATGCCCCATCGTTCATCATTTCTTGCTTCAGCACTGATTCTAAGCACGAGCTTTGTGTATGAGAGCCACATGCCAACTGCCAAGATCCACTCCAGAGAGATTGTCTTGTTTAAAAAACATTTTTATTCTTCTTTTATTTTCAAAAGTCTGAAAATATCAAGTAAAAGGATGTTGAAATATGTTTAATAAAAATTTTGAAAATATTGCCCCTTTCTAGGTTTTACAATTGAGGTAAATCATAAAAAAGAGTTCATTCGATATCAAAGAATTAATTACACTTTTAATCCTTCAGTAAATTATAGCTATTTGACAAGTGTCAAGATCTTTTATATCTTTGAGGTAGGGTTAAGTAAGGAGAGGATAAAATGTCTCAGGTTGTTATTTTTGGTCAAAGGTTTGGTCTTCTCATTTCTTTGATGTTAATTGATTTGATAGAGTGGCTTCTATGCTCATATGGAATTATTGTCTGGTTCTTAGCTCTCATGAGCACATTTGGGTTGTATGATATCTTATCAAGGAATTTGTGAGATTGCCTTCCATACAACAACTACACAGTCTTTATATTTGAGTCGCCTTTTTAGGTTTTCAACTCGAATACTCATTTGGTTTCAAGGCGTTATTCAAAATTTACGTCTTGAACCCCCTTTGTTATTATTTTTCTCTATCATGCATTAAATATTTTAGAAAACCTTTTTGTAAATAAAAGATTAATCCTGATGAGCGGGATAAAATATGAAGATAGTCTATTCTATTTAGAAATCCATGTATGATTAGAAGGAACTTTTTAGGCATGTAATGTAGGATGTGGTTCACGGTTATGAAAGAAAGGGATAAATAGGCCCAAATAAGTGTTTAAGGGTAATTGAACCAATGATCAATTCATTCTGATGCTTTCAATCTTGTCTTGCTCGATTTGAATATGCTTGTATGAGTCCTT